CTTTGTTTGAAGAGTGGGTTCTTGAGTTTTTGTGTTCCCATATGATTTCCATGACTCTACAAACCACATTTCCAACAATTTATTGATTTGAGGTTGTATTGATATTTACTATTATTACCTTATGTTTTGACCCTATTTGTTTAACTTTGAAATAAACCTAGATTTTCTCTATTGAAACCCATCTTGTGAATTGTCCTCTGATATGGCTTTGAGCCGGGTCGTAACAGTCATTCATAGGTTATTCACTGAGATAAAACTTTACATTTAAAGGTCAAGTGTGGAATGTATATGCCTAATGATGACTGTTTCCAAATATTTTTTCTGAACATCTGTTTGGTCAGACAGGTGGTTGGGCGTAAAATCAACTTCCAGTTATGCTCATTTGGATTTAAGTAACTGTCAAATCTCAAAATCTTCAATAAAATGCTGGTTACAATTTTGCTCCGGCAAAAAGCTTTGGGAGAAAATTCCTAATCAAATTCCTTTTTTTCTTTTTCTTTTTTAAACACTGATATACAATAACACAGTGTTCTAATTAGTGTCGCTACTAAATGTAAATTGAAACTAAGCTCAGGAGTGTTTTAATTAAAATGAATAATTCAGGTTTTTACATTTTGTTTATGATGAATAAAAAGATTAAATATCCTGTACAAGCTTGTCTACTCAGCAATTTTTCTGGGCTCTGTGCTCTCCTCGAAAAGAACCTACTGAATTTAAATCCACACAAAATGGATGGGAGTGTGCACTACTATTACAATGAAAAAAACTAGAAACAAGAAAATACAAGAAATTGATCTGTTACCAGTTGCTTCAAGGAAAGACCGATGAACTGCTTGAAGCAAATTTAGTTGTGTCTGACAACTCGAGAGAGGGAGAGATAGACAAACGGATGGACAGATGAACAGAGATAGATAGGCAGAGAGACTGATCGATGCACTGACAGATAGATAGATGAATATATGGATGGATAGATGGATAGATATATATTCTACAGTTGGTTTAGAAATACATTTCTAAGGAATAAAGGAGAAAGAGAAATATCTCCTGGACAACCCAATTTCGTCTTCAGGTCTCTTTGGCACCTCAGTTGAGACGGTGGTCGAGAGATTCAAGGTGATGGCTAGTGTGAATAAGTAGAGTTTAAGCTCCTCTGTAGTCCTTAGGGGTTGAGTAGAAATGCGAGCAAGTCTTTTCTTTTCATGATTTAGCCTACATCCCTTTGTGATGAAAACGAGAGCTAATTTCTTTCCCTGAGAAGTAGTGGTAGATCAAAGGTTGTAGTCTACTTTGAACAGCTACTCCCTGAAAAGCTATGTCAAGTTTTTGACATGGCTAATGATGTGTGATGCTCTTAGGGCACTTGGGTATCTTTACCTGCCCTTTGAGGAGGAAGTTTTTTCAAAAAGGCCATGCCTTTTATAGTTAGTCTAGTAAGGCAAACACTCCCTTAGCATGGCGGAGTGGGTATTTGTTCACCATAGCATCATCTCCAGACGCCACATCGAAGTTCCACTTCGTAAGGGAACGTCTGTAACTAACCTTGGTTCCGTGAGAAGGGGAACGAGATGTGGCATCTCGTTGCCATACATCGGGTTTGCCTGCATGTCTCATTTGTCACGGGTCATTTTGACCAAAAACTCATTTAAAATTTTTTTAAAAATTGAGTGTTCATCGGAGTGGTCCAAGACCTAAGGACTTTTGTCACACTTGAACCACAAATACACAAAAATATTGACTGGATTCGAGGAGTTTGTTGTTGTAATAAAAAAGAAACAAATCCTTCCCTCGCGGTATATGAATGAATGTAGGAGAGGAGTGCTTCAGTATACATAAAAAAATAAAATAAAAAAAACTTCACCAAAAAATTATTTTATAATGTCTACATGTGTATTCTGTAAACTGAAGAGATAAACTCAAAAACTTACTTTAGGACAGTGCAACAGCTCATTTGCACCATATAGAGCTATAAGGCTATTGGCAAGAGTTATGAAATATCATGTTATATTATTTTTTTCCCCACAAGAGATCGGCAGACACACCCAAATTGACCCAATGTGAGATATTTTGAGCTGATTTGAGCTGGTTATTGCATGTTTTGGAGAGTTTTTTTGAATTTAAGTTGAAAGAATGTGCTTAAATTATATTATTTATTGATAAAATCTAGAAATTTAAAGGTACATAAAATAAAAAATAATAAAGAAAAATCTCCAAAAAATTGCATTAAAGAATTGATCTAAGCTTTCTAGACGGAAAAAAAAGTATAATTTTAGGGCTTTGGGTCTTTTTGACGCAAGGGAAGGATTTGTTACAGGATGCGGAGGAGAGGATGAATGTTAATAATCCTTTATCTGACTGAGTTTTTATGTACTCTAAATCTCTCACAAATCTTTTGATAATTCAATAATCTTCAGTTTTTACTAAATATTAGTTGTTTTCATGCCTTTTGCAAGACATTGCACCATTTTATGCTTTTCATCTTTAGAGAGATCTTTCTTCCTTCCCATATTGCATGACAACTGCAGTGATTTGCTTAATAATGTGGAAAAACCTCTTTAAGTAGGTTTTCCATTTACATAAGAAGACCTGGCAAACTAATTAACAAACCTGTCTGAGATTAATAACAAAAAAAACACTTTCTTTGAAAAAACTAAAATCTGAATGTTTATTGTAGGCTACTGAAATACTGATATGTCACATGCATAATAATTTGGATGATGGACAGATAGATAGATAGATAGATAGATAGATAGATAGATAGATAGATAGATAGATAGATAGATAGATAGATAGATAGATAGATAGATAGATAGATAGATAGATAGATAGATAGATAGATAGATAGATAGATAGATAGATAGATAGATAGATAGATAGATAGACAGATAGACAGATAGATTGATTCTATTGTGAAGAGGAGTATCGTTACTATAATTATAACAGTAAATTCATAATTATAAATTTTGTTTATACTGGTTAATTTTGTTAAAACTGGTTAATATTGTTAATATTATGGTAAGCTGCATGTGAAGCCAAGGGGTAATCAGTCTTACCTTTCCGTTTCAAATTAGACAAATCTAGTTTTTTGAGTCATTCCACGAAACGGGTACGATTTGGACTTACACATTTTTGAATTTTTTACCAACATGTATTACTTTTCTGAACACCCCACAACATTAATAACATATTTAACTTCCAGAAAAACATATTTTCCCACCTCAGGCATTAAATACTTATTATTATTGGTAATTATTTTAAGATATGGGCACTATTAGTCTTCAACCCCGTTATGGACACTATGGGAGCTCTCTGAATATAATTATAAAATATATTTTTAATGAAATCAACATTTTCCTATTAGTCAGATGTCCCTCACACTAATTCAGTAATTGCAAATGTAAAATGTACATATCGTTTCACACTTATGCTATACTAAAGCCTGAAATGGGCACTTTGTGTGACAGCAACCTCATAATATTTGATCAAAGATGTGGCTTAACTTCAGAATTTGAACTAAAATCAGTATTCTTGTGATTGCTCTGAACATTTCAGACTGAGTTCAACAAACAATAATTTACTTTTTAATAAACGTAAAAATAAAAATTCATAAAAACGTAGGTGTGACGGGGTTGAGACTAGGGTAACAGGGTTGAAGATGGTAACGGGGTTGAAGAGACAAATACAGCTTAACATATGAGTAGTTGTTTTTTTGCTCAAATTCACTGTAAGATTTTCTATAAGCAATGTATTTTATTATGTTACCAAGAAAAACAACAGATATAAATTGCAATTGCAACTCAGTTTTATTAACCCGACTGCAGGAAAAACAACAATAACGTAGTATACATTAGAACATTATAAAATGACTGAATAGGTCATCAAAATAAAACGTATTTTTGTGTGCTTTTTTGATGTATGTGTGTGTGTGTGTGTGTGATTGAGCGTGTGTTTGTGTGTTTTTTTTTTTTTACATGTGCGCATGCTTCGTGGCAAAAAAGTAACGGGGTTGAGTGTGACGGGGTTGTGATTTTTTGGCTAAAAATGGCCACTGCTCTATATGTGGTGAATAACAGGAGAGCACATGGAATGCATGACATTAAGAAATCATGTATGCTTTTGAAATAACAAAGATAATTTTCACAAGTAATAGAATTCTATCTTTATTTGATGTAACGGGGTTGAGTCGTTGAGCTTGACAACCACAATATCACAATTCTAAATAAGTTATAGTTATAAAAGTAGTTGGTAACTTGCCTGTGTCTGCACACAATGTTGTTCAGAAGACTTCTATGATGTTACTTCCTGTTGTTGATCTCACATAAGGATCTGTTCATTATTTTTATGGGGGGAGAATGATGTGTGTAACGGGGTTGAGGGATTACTGAGGGACGGAACTAAATAATGTGATTTTAATGAATAATCATGAATTTATTTTTTTTAAAACCATTACCAGCAAAAAAGCACAGATAGATATTCATGGGAATGGCAAAATGTATGGACTTTTTTCTAATTTTATTATTCATATTCCAAGTACACTTTCATAGAAGGCCATGAGGGACATGACAAAATAGGTGGTGTCAACTGAAAAATCAAGATAATTTCTAATATAAAGATAAAATGTTTGTCATTATTTTTAAACTCTATTAAAGGAGACATTTCAATTGATACAAAAAGCTTTTAATAATAGATTTTGGTGACCCAATAGGTAAAATACACTTAAAAAGGTCAGAGGGACTCAAATCGTACCGGTTTCGTGGAATGACTCTTTTATGTAAATGGTATGAAAAGATGAACAGGACTGGCCACAGGTTTCATAGTAACCACACAAGATGAGGCTGACGCACAGTAGAGACTCAGTAGTCTCTCTCTCTCTCTCTCTCTCTCTCTCTCTCTCTCTCTCTCTCTCTCTCTCTCTCTCTCTCTCTCTCTCTCTCTCTCTCTCTCTCTCTCTCTCTCTCTCTCTCTCTCTCTCTCTCTCTCTCTCTCTCTCAAACTGTTGCACTGTAAAATGTGACAGGTTTCCACCTGTATTGACGCAAAATCACTCTGGTGAGAGACGATTTTGAATTGCCCGTGAGACTCATGGTTGCTCGTTCATTCACACAATAACGCGCTCTATTTTTTTTCTTACTATTAAAAGGAAGCTGTCGAGACAGATATCGTGATTTTTTCCAGCTCAGTGTTTGGATCAAATGTAATTGGACTCATGTGGGCATGTACGACTGGCACGAAGCCACAATGAGATCGGTTCAATCTGCTGCTGTGAGCTTTTTTACATTGAATTTATGTTTGATGTGGATATTGTTCACTATATCGATAACAACAATCAAAGGTAAGAAATTATAAAAGACAGAGCTGGGTCATCTTAAATAAAAGAAAAAAGTTATTGTTGGTGTCCTTCTAGTTTCATAAATATAAATATCATTATCATATCATTCGTTTTACTGTAAATTTAATGTGTAGCCTATCGTATTTATAGTAGTCTAAGCCTATATTTATACAAATTGTAAATTGTGCGGTACCAAATTGTGTTGAACAATGAAATCCAAAATTTAAAAAAATGTATATTTCTGCTGTTGGAATTCCATAAGGTTATGTCAGGCTACATAAATTTTAGTTTTAAGGGATGGTGAATAGTCTTGAGAGAGCTACAGTATTGCTGCTGTAGCCTAAATTGGTTCTCTTAAAGAACAGTGTCAAACTATTCTGCATGACAAGAGACAAGTCAAGCGCTTAGGTTGGGACTTGATTGCATCAAGTGAATAATATTATAAATACCAAATTAATTAGAATAAAATCACGTTTGTGTATGAATAGTCACTAATATGAAATGCAGTATCACAGCCCATGAGTGAGATTTATTGTATAAATACTCTTTATCACTATTCTTGGCAATGTTGCTATAAATGAGGTCAGTGTGCACACTTTGCTCTTGAGGAACAGGTAGTAATCCAACTAGTCTTCAAAATAAAAGGGACTTTGTTGCATTGAAGAATCTTTTTCATCCATGGGATGTTTCCAAGATGTTCAATCTTGTGTAAAAGTAACAATTATAACAATGTTATAGTGTAAAAGGTTCTTTAGATCATTAAAATATTCTTTACACTACTACTAATAATAATAATAATAATAATAGTGAAGAGGTTCTTTTAAGAACGCGGTTCACTCAAGGTACTTTGTGAAACCACTAATGGTTCTTCATGGCATCACTGTGAAAAACCCCTTTTTAGCCTTTATGTGAATATTCTGTGTGGCACAGGAAGATAGGATTTCCCTTAAAATGTTAGTTAAAGGGATAGTTCACTTTGAAATTAATTTTTGATATGTTTTAGCTTACCTCAAGGGCATCCAAGATGTAGGTGTCTTTGTTTCCGCAGTAGTTTCAATTTTGATATTTTAGTTCAAACCGTTCTTGTCTGTCAGTAATGCAGGGTCACCACCTCAAAGAGCATGCACAGAAAAATCCAAATTAAACATGATTTAATGACTCGTAAATGTTAGTACACATTGATGGCCTAAGACATGAAACGAGCGGTTTGTGTGAGAAAACGAACAGTTTTATATTGTTTTTACCTCTTGTAACCACAGCCAGGTCCAAGTGATCTGAGGGCGCGGGCGCTTCGGTCTGTGCGTTACAAGAGGTAATAACGATATAAATACTGTTCGTTTTCTCACACAAACCGCTCGTTTCGTGTCGTATAGGCCATCAATGTGTACTTACATTTACGAGTCATTAAATCATGTTTAATTTGGACTTCTCTGTGCATGCTCTATGAGGAAGTGACCATAGACCTGCATTATATGACTGACAGACAAGAACGGTTTGACCTAAAAATATCAAAATTGAAACTACTGCGGAAACAAAGACACCTACATCTTGGATGAACCCTTAAGGTAAGCTAAAACATATCAAAAATTAATTTCAAAGTGAACTATCCCTTTAGTAAACTTCCAACCGAACCAAAACCAAATAGCCTACATTTGATAGAGATTTATACAATTCATAAAATTACAATTTAGTAGGCCTATTGATTGTTAGGCTCAAGTCACCTTTATTTACATAATGCTTTATACAGATTGTTTCATCGCAGATCATCAATATTCAAATCGATAATATTACTGAATATTAAGGTTCTTATAAACCTCAACCAAATAACTGACCTAAACTCTACCAGGTGACAGATATGGAGAGAGAGAGAAAACCTTGGAAGAAACCAGGCTCAGTTCTCCTCTGGCCAAATGAATGAACATATTGTGATTTACTGTATGATTCATGCAGGCTCCATCAAAAGTCAGATTGTTGATATCTTTAAAAAAAAAACATTTGTCCTTCTCCTTCTGCTCGAAGATCGGAAATGTCGAGTTGGCATTAAGCATTACAGTACAGGATTCTAGAAGGGACAGCAAGCTGTTGTCTTTTTCCTGTGATTTCACATATGGCATAAAGTCTTGTCTAAAACTCGAACGCTGAGTTCTTATTGAAGACATTCTAAGACACTCTCTAAATAGAAAGACACTTTACAGAGGTCATGGAAAATTTACCCTCACTAAATTCATCAAATTCTCTCAAATGTATTTTTGCCTTTAAAAGTCATGATTAAGTATGTTAAGAAATGTATAATATAATATAATGGATCCGTTTATGATTTGATATCTCTCTGTTCACCTCTCTCTTCTCCTCTCTATTTTACACCTGTAATTACAGCTATATCACATTTAGAAGTAGATTTGCATTACAGATTTGCACTCATATGAATATTCCAACCTAATGTTCTTGTTTCTGAAGCATGTGCCACCATATAAACCAGTATGAGTCTATTATTTAACACTCAAAGAAAATGTATTTATTTTTGACAATCTGCACTGTTTGTCCCTTTTCTCAAGGCATTTGGAAAGCAGATTAGATTAGCATTATCTTATTAACCCTCTGGTTCTGCGCCCAATCAACATCTTACTGAAATCTCTTTTCTTTATTTTTTTAGATATCAAGGTCAAGTTTCCAACACAACTTGTTTAGATTTATGGCTTTGATTTTCTCACAGTTTCAGAGTAAAATGTGTTTTGGAAAATATATATTTCATATAAAAATTGAAAATAGTGTTTTTGTGCAGTTTCCATAACAATAAATGTAAAATTATTTTACCCTTTTTAAGTTCACTTTTTAAAACTTTACATTTACGTTCACTTTTAATTTTTAGCAATAATCTGCCAATAATCTGTGTCATCTTTAAAAAGAGACCAAACTTAAACCTGTGCTCCAAAGTATTACAGTAAATACTTAAAAAGTTTAAGTTGGAAATTTCATTTTCAGGTCTATGCTCAAAACTGAATAAATAGATTATAACTACTGCAAAAAAATTAATTTAGTACCATAACATTTTCGTATATAGTACATTTATTTCTTTAAAATAAATAAATAAAAACTTTCATTTTGACCGCCACGCGAGCAGGGTTAAACGAAGGCTTGGATCACAGGGCAATAATTGTTACAGAGTGCTTATCATTCATGTTTTTACTAAAGCCTTAAAAGCCCCAATATCCTAAATAAACTATAATGTCATTAGAGTTCAGTATTGACATGTAAAAGTTGTTGTAATAATCACATGCAAACACATGCCCACGGTCTTGGAAGAAAAACAAGAAAGACAGTATTATAGCTGCATTTATACCACCCGACATGGATCTTTATATCTGAATGACATTGCATTTTACCATTAAAGCAGAAGATTAGCATAAGCATGAAGTGTTCGAAGTGATTTCTTACTTGTATATTGTCCCAGCAGCAGGGCTGGAGCGCAGGCCTTCAGAAGACTGTCAGCTGGGTCACTTTCCATGTGGCAATATGAGCATTTGTCTGCCACAGGTTCTGCACTGCAACGGAAAAAACGACTGTCCCAATGGAGCTGACGAAGACAATTGTGGTAAGAGCTTTTTACAAATACAGACATCTCACATATAGCTTATATATATATATATATATATATACAGTATATATATAGGTTCAGAGTATCTCTGAAACGGCAAGGCTTGTGGGTTTCTTGCGGTCAGCAGTGGTGAACCAAAAGTGATCCGAAGAGGGACAAACCATAAACTGGCGACAGGGTGTTGGGCTCCCAAAGCTCATCGATGCACAAGGACAACGAAGGCTATCCCGTCTGGTCCGAGCTCTGTATTTGCTCCCCCTGGCATCTATTTTTTTTAAAACATGGTGTCTCTTTTCATCTATATGCCGATGATACCCACCTTTACTTTCCCTTGCAATGCAATAATACATATTCTCTTCAGCCACTAGCTGTTAGATTGCCTGAACGAACTTAAGTCATGGCTTTCAAGCTATTTGTTACACCTAAATGAAAACAAATCTGAGTTTATTATGTTTGGCCCCAAGGAAAACAGTGTTTTTGATTTTGATCTTGGCTTCCTCACCCCATACAGTGTGCCAGGAATCTGGGCTTCCTATTTGACTCCAGTTTTGAAGTTTGACAAACGGATCTCATCTGTTGTCAAGTCATACTTCTACCAACTTCGTCTTCTCAGTAAAGTTAAGCCCTTTTTATCAAGGATAAATTTTGAAACAGCTCTTCGTGCTTTTGTAACATCTAGGCTTGATTACTGTAATTTGCTGTACTATGGCATTTCTCAGGCTTCCATCTCTCGTCTGCAGTTGGTTCAAAACGCAGCTGCTAGACTGCTTGAAGGGAAGCGAAAATATGGCCACATAACACCAATTTTAATGTCCCTGCACTGGCTTCCTGTCAAGTATAGGATTGAGTTTAGAATTGTATTGTTTGTTTACAAAGCCCTCAATAATTTGGCACCTCAATATTTAACTGATATTTTGTTTCCGTACACTCCTAGAAACCTGAGATATTGTGACCTTGGTCTTCTCACAGTTCCTAGAGTAAAACTTAAAAAAAAGTGGTGATCGCACTGTTTCGCCACTGTTGGACCAAAGCTGTGGAATAGCCTTCCTCCCTTTATTAGGCATGCCCCATCTGTCTGTATTTTTAAATCTTATCTTAAGACTTACTTATTCACCCTAGCTTTTAACACTCCATAGTTTGTCATCCTGGGTTTCTCTTTTATTTTATTGATTGCTTATTACTTTTTTTGGCTTGTTTGGTATGTATGCATATTATTTTTATTTCTTGTGTTTCTTTTATTCTTTGTAAAGCACTTTGGTAAACTTTGGTTGTGTTTTAAACATGCTCTAGAAATAAATGATTGATTGAGCCAACAGAAGGTCTACAGAAGGTCACACAAAATTGTAATGATGCACAACACACTGTGCATCGCACTCTGCTGCCTATGGGGCTGTGTAGCCGCCGATCAATCAAAGTGCCTATGATGACGACCCCTGTACACCGCCGACAAATGGCGCCTACAAATGGCATGTGAGCATCAGAATTGGAGCCATGGAAGAAGGTTGGTCTGATGAGTCCCATTCTATTTTACATCACATGGACGGCCATGTACGTGTGCATTTACCTTGGGAATTGATGGCACCAGGATCCACTGTGGGACGACAACAAGCCAGTGGAGGAAGTGTGATGATCTGGGCAATGTTCTGCTGAGAAACCCTGGGTCCAGCCATTCATGTGGACATAAATTTGACGTGTGCTACCTACCTAAACATTGTTGCAGACCAGGTACACCCCTTCATGACAATGGTCTCCCCTGGTGGAAGTGACCTCTTTCAGCAGGATAATGCACCCTGTCACACTGCACATTGTTCAGCAATGGTTTGAAGGAACATGATGAAGAGTTCCAAGGGGTTGCCTTGGCCTACAAATTCCCCAGATGTCAATCCAGTTGAGCATCTGTGGGATGTGCTTGACCAACAATTCGGATCCACTGCAGCTCCACCTCTCAACCTTACAGGACTTGTAGGATCTGCTGCTAATGTCTTGGTGCCAGAGACCACAGGACACCTTCAGGGCTCTTGTAGAGTCCATGCCTCGGCGGGTCAGCACTGTTTTGGCAGCACGCGGAGGACCAACAGCATATTAGACAGATGGTCATAATGTTTTGGCCAATCTGTATATATAAATATATTTACACTCACCTAAAGGATTATTAGAAACACCATACTAATACTGTGTTTGACCCCCTTTCGCCTTCAGAACTGCCTTAATTCTACGTGGCATTGATTCAACAAGGTGCTGAAAGCATTCTTTAGAAATGTTGGCCCATATTGATAGGATAGCATCTTGCAGTTGATGGAGATTTGTGAGATGCACATCCAGGGCACGAAGCTCCCGTTCCACCACATCCCAAAGATGCTCTATTGGGTTGAGATCTGGTGACTGTGGGGGCCATTTTAGTACAGTGAACTCATTGTCATGTTCAAGAAACCAATTTGAAATGATTCAAGCTTTGTGACATGGTGCATTATCCTGCTGGAAGTAGCCATCAGAGGATGGGTACATGGTGGCCATAAAGGGATGGACATGGTCAGAAACAATGCTCAGGTAGGCCGTGGCATTTAAACGATGCCCAATTGGCACTAAGGGGCCTAAAGTGTGCCAAGAAAACATCCCCCACACCATTACACCACCACCACCAGCCTGCACAGTGGTAACAAGGAATGATGGATCCATGTTCTCATTCTGTTTACGCCAAATTCTGACTCTACCATCTAAATGTCTCAACAGAAATCGAGACTCATCAGACCAGGCAACATTTTTCCAGTCTTCAACTGTCCAATTTTGGTGAGCTCTTGCAAATTGTAGCCTCTTTTTCCTATTTGTAGTGGAGATGAGTGGTACCTGGTGGGGTCTTCTGCTGTTGTAGCCCATCCGCCTCAAGGTTGTGCGTGTTGTGGCTTCACAAATGCTTTGCTGCATACCTCGGTTGTTACGAGTGGTTATTTCAGTCAAAGTTGCTCTTCTATCAGCTTGAATCAGTCGGCCCATTCTCCTCTGACCTCTAGCATCAACAAGGCATTTTCGCCCACAGGACTGCCGCATACTGGATGTTTTTCCCTTTTCACACTATTCTTTGTAAACCCTAGAAATGGTTGTGCCTGAAAATCCCAGTAACTGAGCAGATTGTTAAATACTCAGACCGGCCCGTCTGGCACCAACAACCATGCCACGCTCAAAATTGCTGAAATCACCTTTCTTTCCCATTCTGACATTCAGTTTGGAGTTCAGGAGATTGTCTTGACCAGGACCACACCCCTAAATGCATTGAAGCAACTGCCATGTGATTGGTTGATTAGATAATTGCATTAATGAGAAATTGAACAGGTGTTCTAATCCTTTAGGTGAGTGTATATATGTAGCTATATATAGACCAGGGCTAGTTGTCACACAGGGATGCCACAAGTCCATGTTTATCTCAGTAACTATAATGTTTTCAGATGTCAGGTCGAGAAAATATGTGTCACACAATTTAATGACAATTAAATCACAATTAAATTTCTGTTTCAATTGTTTTCTAGTTTCAGTTGTGGCAACCCTACAATGTGACAACATGCCCCAGTAGTGGGACAAAAGGTCAGCGTGTTTTTAAGTCTGTATTTTTATGTTATCCTGGGCCATAATGGTGGAAATGATCAGTTGCATGTTTTGTAGACAAGAAGAAGTCTGTGTCTTTTCCCAAGATAAACATGGACCTAAATAAAAGTGTACAAAATAGTGACAACTAGCCCCTATAGACTGATCTACAGTACAGTATATATATATATATATATATATATATATATATATATATATATATATATATTAAAATTGATACAATATCGTATCATTGTTTTATCAATTATGAACTTATGCCTGTCTGTGTTTTGTGTGAATGTGTTTGTGTGCTCGTCTCATGTTGACGTCTATTTCATCGCTGTCCATCTCTCTGAAGGGGATAACAGTGGCTGGGCAGACCTCTTCGACCAGACATTCAAAAGGGTTTATCCACAAGAGCTTTCCACAGAGTGCCGTAAATATACACCTAATACCTAATCGTTAACCTCTTGTACTTGCCGTCTTGCAGTCTCAAAAACACAATTTAGACAGTCCAGTTCTAGACAGTACTGCTTGTATTAGTACAAACTTTGCCTAAACTAGGCCTATGCCAAATATATCAAGTGCAATTTTTAATGTCACTTCAATAGAAGTTCATTATCCACATTTTTCCTAACTATGCTCCATTTTAGATTATGGGAGGCTCTTCCGGTTTGTGGAAGTTCCACTCAAAAAGACTGAAACAAATCATTTCAAATCGTAATCGTACTACAAATAATCATTATCCGTCAGTTAGACTGAATGAGCTGTAAAATGTACTTTTCTGAAGTCAGGAGAATAATATAACACTTGGTATTTTATTTTAATGTGATATGGTATAACATAGCAAGAGCTCTTTCAGTCGCTGGATGTCACTTTGAAAAAGTATCACTCAATGTTTCAGTTAATTAACATTTTTGATTATGGTATGTTACATAATACAGACATAACAGTGGTATTTAACACGTCCATTTCTGTTGAATTAGGCTAATCGAGCTTTTGGGGTAGCCTATATTTCTTTAATTGTCTGTTGTAGTAATTTGTTCATGCTTAACTTTTACATTTCCTTTTAAGGTTCGATGGTTAAAGGGTGAGTTTATAATGTCATTTGACGAATAAATATGGCGAACCTTTTGCTAATTGTTTACCGTTTGTACTTCCATAATTCGTGAAAAGCGTCATGGGTCATAGGAAAAAGGTGGATAAGGTCAACTCATTTTTAAACTTTGAAATATATTTGAAATAATCCTAATTTAAAATTAATTTTAATATACTTTCAACAATGTAAATCAGTGTTAATTTTTACCTATATTTTGGTTGTCACTGCACACAACTTCCATATTGCCAAAACTGTTGAATTTGAATGAATGTATGTCTGTGTATATATGTATCTCTTTCCTGTCCTGCCTTGCAGAAGTGGAGCAGTATCCTGATCGTTGCCAGTGCATTAACAATAAGATCCACTGTGTGCATGTCAGCTTGAGATCCGTTCCGCAGGTGTCAGCGAATGTTACCTTCCTGTACGCAGCCTTCCATTGCAAATTTGAGTAAAAATGTACATTAGCCTAGCTCACTGATACAAAAGATTGTGAATTGTTGAAGGTTTAATGCTGCTTTCACAAGCTATCGGAAATTTCCTACTTCCCACTTCTGAAGTTGTGATTACGAGCTCATCGCATAGTACTTTGTTGTCGGAAAGAACAGGAATCGTGCAGGACACCAGGTTACTTTTGCCTAATTCTTGGGGAAATCTTATTAAAGCCAAATTATATTGAATATATATTTAATTTTTAATAAATTGTAGCTTCCCATTCGTTGACAACCATATAAAAACATTCACCACACTATATAGATAGTCAGCTTGCTGACAATTCTGGAATTTCTGTCAAATAGGCTACATGCTATTTCCACTGTGTAAAAACAATGCTTGAAATGATTATGCCTATAAGTAAATATGCCCTACTTTAACAACAAGACAAGGCGATGTAGCTGTTGTGGGAAAAAAAACAAATAAAGAATAGCAGTCAAAGGAGCAATTATTCTCCCCTCCGCCATGTTTAAAGTTTATGGCACGCCCAACTCGGAAACTCTGGAATCAAAATCATATCTGAGTTTCCCAGTGGTAAATACTGAGAGGGGGTTCATGTCCAATTCCGACTAAGGAAATCGTACGATCATTCCGATAGCATGTGAAGGCAGCCAAAAAAACATAACCCAGTAATAAGCTCTAGAGCAGGGTCAGCCAGGGCCACTGGTGCAGTGAGTTATACAAATTTCAACTTGAAAATCACTATAGTAGCCTAATCATAAACTCCCTCACAAAACTAAACAACCTTTTACCCACGTTACAAAAAAAAAAAAAAAAGTTTAAAAGTAGCCAAATTCCTTGGCAACCCCACGGCCGGCTGTTTAGAAATAAACAAAAAAATCAGAAATCTTGCCCACTGATGCGTGTTGCGTCACAGAAACTTTCGCGGACCAAATTTCGTTTCACGACACTGACTTGACCATGCACTTGACACGTTCAAGAGTGAAATGATGACCAGCTCCTCCTCTCTGAATGTCTAGTGGGGTGGAGGGATAGAGTTGTGGGTAGGTTAGGGTTTGGTTGGATATATATAGCTCCACCCATTAGGCCCAAATTACATTCGCTCCATTTGCTCTGCAGTGAGCAGCTTCTCGTCACGTTGACACAAGGCAGTAACGTTATAAAAAGAGATAGTTTTATTCTCACAGCTATGGTCTGAATAGTATATTCAGTAAAACAGCAGTGACATGCAAACATGACACGGCTTAACAATTTGAAGAGTGGAAAGACCTTTAGTGTGCAAAATACATTGGATTAAACAAAAGACAGTATCAGTAGGCCTATAAGCAAATTTTCTTTATCATTTATTTTCTTAAGCATACACAAATGAAACACTGCTGAATGTTTAATTAGCTGTTTCTGTTGCTTTTGGACAGATCGTTGAAGAGCAACGAGATTCGCATGTTACCCGATAAAGCCTTCAACAAATACATAAAACTACAGAGGCTGTAAGTATGAATAAGCATTCCTTTCCTCTGATCCGCTAGTTATAATTTCCGTGATTGATTTCATAAGACCTGCTGAAGACAACTTTGGTATGCATTGACTAAGGATGCTTTGCTTAAGCCGCAAATCAACACAGAGGCTTATAATGGAGCTGTCAACCTGTACTGCCAATGCCTGTTTATGTGGTACAAAAAATATTGGTTCCTGCATGAAACTGATTAACGTTTATGATCAGCTTTCTGTTGAATCCACTGAAGCTTTTAAGATGAGGCCATGGTCACCTTCCTTTAAATTGAGCTTGCTGCTTGTTAATCTCAGTATTGGCAGGTTTCTGTAGCATGCCATTAAAGCTGGGATGTTGTGTGTCGCTCTATGGTGATTTAATGCTTTCTAGTAGTAGCCTACACACTGACAGGCGTGAGGATAGTGGCCACAAGCACTTATACTGTAGATATTTGTCAAAAGACATCAGCGTTACACCAATAGAGTAATGTTTTTCTTTTTTACAAATCATTTTCATAAAATAATTTTTGTAAAGAAGTCATGATTAAGATCTTTTGAATTTTTAATGGAATAAACACTACACCGTTCATAAGTTCATAAGTCACCGTTCATATGTTTTTGAAAGTCTCTAATGCTCACAAGGCTGCATTTTTTTTTATCAAAAATACAGTAAAATCAGTAATATTGTGAAATATTAAAACAATATCAAATATCATTTATTCCTGTGATGGAAAAGCTGAATTTTCAGTGGCCACTACCCCTTCAGAAATCATTATAATATTCAGATTTATGCTGATATCAATGTTGAAAACAATTGCTGCTTTATGTTTGTGGAAACTGTGTTAATTTCTAAACATTCAAAAGAACAGCATTTATACATAATCAATGTGTTGGGTCTCAGAAACGGCACTGAGGGTAGAGTTTTACCATTAGAGCTATGTGTAGCTACACTTCAGTGTTTAGGTTCTGTTCCATGTAGGTTAATGGATTTTTCTTCTTATATAAATTATACATTTTATGATTAATTATCAATGGCCCATTTCCTAATTCATAATTCAAAGCCCTTAAATATTTAATATTGTAGATGACCCAAAAATGACTATATGTTCTGTAAAGAGCCAGCAGACACTGTCATCTTGAAAACACAACTTGTGCAGTTACAATGTGATGACGCTCACTTGTCACAGACACAGAATGTGGAAACTGCCCTAATGAGGCATTCATTTTAGCGCCTCCTATATTTTCAAATATTTATTCATTTTTAGATGAATTTTTGGTTGGGGACATTTAGTTTTGGATACAGTACTGATGGCAAAGGATGGCTATGAATGTGAGTTGTTGAAGTATTCTGTGATATGATGGAGGTGTGGGAGGTGGAGTAGAATACATTTGCAGAGATTTATTAAAGATAAATAAAGGATATGTGGCAGGCTGAAATTGCGGTCAAGGTACAGGCGTTGGTCAGAAACACAATGAGGCAGTCTATTGTCATATAAGTGCAAATCAGCAATCCAAAAACCAGGCTTATCACAAAGTCTCTGATATTTTAGTCTATATGGCTCGAGTCCCTCCTTCAACAAACATGATTTTTTTTTTACTATATATATATATATATTATCAGTTTGGTTAACCTGTTAAACACAACCAGCTGTTGACCAAATTGCTGATTGTTGTTTTTTTCTTCCTCAGGTTTCTCCAGGATAATTGCATTCTCACTGTTTCCATTCACGCTTTTAGTGGACTATATAAGCTTGAAAAACTGTAAGTAGGTTTTTTTTTTGTGTTTTTTAAGTGTAATATATATATTTTTCTCACATTGAACAAGGGAATAGTCAAGTCACCCTTATTTTTTATAGCACTTAGATAGTTTCAAAGCAGCTTCACAATAATAAACTGGAAAGTATTAATGATGCAAACACAATCAAATTCTGCTGTAAAGCAGCTGTAGCAAGATTATACTGTTACCATTCAGCTCAATTCAGATGTGAAGTTCCTCAATTATGAAAGTTCAATTCAGTGATTTTTTTTGTCTTTGTTAAAACTTCCCTCATTCTGAGGAAAGCTCAACATAATTTCTTGTTCTTGTGTTGCAGATCTTTGAGCCAGAATTGCATCTCCTTGCTTTCACCTGGAGTCTTCAGTGATCTTCATAAGCTCAAGTGGTTGTGAGTACAACCATCAACAAGCTGTTTACAAGTTTTTACATGAGTCATAAAGACTGCATTATTTCTAAAATGTTTTGCAACAGCAGTAGATGCCTGTTATTAACTTTAATTTTTTTGCATAAGTAGGCTACACAATACATATTGAATATTTTGACCAAGAATAAAATCTGTATTAATACAATTAAATACCCTTTTATTGTTGTAGTATATTAAAATAGATTCAAAATTCATAGCATGTTATTACAATTTAGGGTTGTTAATATTTCAACAATGCTGCATTTTTGATCAAAACAGTTGACAGTGCAGTTACAATAAAAACAGTAATATTGTGAAATATTCTTACATTTTAAACTGCTTTTATTGTCCCCTTTGATCAATTTAATGCATCCTTGCTGAAGGATATTGTTACATGTGTGTTCTGTGTTTCCCCCGTTCTTTGTGTATTTGGTTCAGTCCTGTTTCCATTTTCCCGCTCCTCATTACTGTTTAGTTAATTCACCTGTTTACCTGTCATTATCAGTTCATTTGCCCCAGCTGTGCCTTGTTTCCCCAATCTGTTCAATGTGTATTTAAACCCTGTGTTCTCCCTCACTCCTGGTCGGTTATCGTTTGTGTATGTTACCTTGGTGTGTTTATCCTCTGCCTGCCTATACCTGTTTCTTGAGCAGTTTAATAGTAAAGTTTATTGAATTGGAAATCTGGACTCTTGTCTTCATCTACCTTCACCACGCCCGTAACAGATATCCATTTCATAAAAAAACAATCTTACTGACCCCAAACTTTTAAATGGTATTGTATCTGCACTGAATCTACGAGTTATTCATTTATTAAATTAATTAGTCCATTAGTTTGGCTGGTGGTTTAGGAACATTTTTGCAAGTTTTGAAAGTTATTTTATCTTCAGGATTTTGGATGACAATCCCATAACAACAATTACAGCCAACACATTTACTGGTCTGAGTTCCCTCTTCTTCATGTAAGTCTTCATCCATCCTCATTTATGAAGTACTGTTCATTTCCTTCTTTTGTTTAAATAAACACATTTATTTACAAGATTCTTCAGAATCAATGCGTTTTACTGTATATTTTCACCCAAGTTGCTTCAGTCACAAAAAAATATTGCTCTGAAAAATAAATTAGCATTTTAAATGATTTAAGTCTGTGCACTAGTTTTAAATGTCTGTACGATGTTGTGGCTCACCTCACCTAAACATCTGTACAGGTCAATGGTAAATACCTCTCTAGAACAGCTCCCCCCCGCCAGACTCTGCACCCATATGCCCTTACTCAGCTGGCTGTAAGTATCCACTTCTCTTTCAGTTCAGTTAGGAAGATGCTGGCAGCGAGGAAGATCATGTTTGAAACAGAGCTGGGTCACTCCGAGACAACTGGCAGCGAGGAAGGTCGCTGAGGTCTCCGGCTCACATTTTTACATTTTGTTAATATTTTTTTCTGAAGAAAGACAAACATAAATAGTAATGAAAGTCAAAATATCAAATGCCATGGATAAATATTTAGTTTATTGAGTAATCCACTATTTTTTAGAGGGGTGTCAATGTCAATGTCTGTGACTTGAAGTCAAGTCAAGGGTCTTGACTTGACTTAGTAAAATATGTTGTCTTTAGCAATTGTTGCATTATACCAATGGAGACAGTTCAAAAATAGGGAGAAGCACTTGTTATGGGTTTTGTCCCCATACGTTGGCATGCCTGTAACTTAGAATACAATAAAGATATTGTAATATTCAGTGGTATATTTTTTTGTTATTTATATAGCTCATTTTATACAAATTGGAAATGCTTTAAAAGAAATCAAGTTTAAAATCATTTACAAGTTCATTTACCATGGGTAAAAATGAAGAGCTGAATAGAGTGCTGCAGGGACCCGAAAGACTAATTCGCTAATGTTTCCCTCAAGAGTTCCCTATGGGGTTTTATAATGGGGTTTTTCAATTTATGAGTAAAATAAAATCTGTGGTAAACATAATGTGACAATACTTGAACGTTTTGCTCAACAAATTAACCTGCACACACTCACACCCCAAACGTTCTTATGTACTTATTAGAAACATAAGCTTATTTAAATTAAACATAACAGCTTCTAGATTTGTTTACGAAATGGGTGTGTGTAATTTACATTATAGAGCAAAACGTATCATAAAGTTATGTTCACCACAGATCTTATTTTTCTCACTGTATATTTGTAAAAAAAAAAAAACATACTTCTATCTATATATATATATAGTGTACATCTGTAGCATTTTTTCTTGCTGCATTAGTTTTTTTTTGTTGGCTCTTTTTAAGATCCCAGACAGGTCTAAATGCTACCTGGGGCTCACCCTTCTTGCTCTCATCTTTGTGGAGTACAAGAACAGTATGTACTCTGTTGCTAATGCAGCGTTATTCTCTCCTTGGCCATGGTGTCCGTCTTTGACAGCCAAGAGCAACAGGATGAGGTTGGATTTCACTGATACGCCGATGAGACTGTGTTAGTTTAGGTGTAACCAAATAGTCTTAGGCCTTCAGCTGCCATGCTACCTTTTAATATTGTGTATATGTCACATGTACATGTCAACATGCCTGTTTTATTTTTACTGAAATTTTGTATATCCAGCATTTTTATTTGCTTGATTAATTCTTACTCATCAATTTATGACATGCTCTCTTAAAGGGATTTTGAGGGGAATCGTATTACGACATTGGGCTTGTCAACTTTACTCGCTTGTGAACATCTTACTGTGCTGTAAGTATTATTAAATACGGTGTCCACATTAGTCATTCAATTTCATTAGAATGAAATTTAGGTGTATAGTTAAGATTATTACATAGTTTAAATTATTCTATTATGCATTCTTTTAAAAATGTAATACACCATCTTTCTGTACAAATTATATTATCAGCATAACAATTTGAATATTTTAATATGATAAAAATCTCAAAACTTTGTATGTTTATGTTCTCTGGTCCAAATAATTCTGAAGTACTAAGTAGAGTATGCTCTTGGAGGTCAGTTTCTCTTTAAGCTTTAGCTGATAAAAGTTTAGCTGACAAGTTCAAAATCAGGACCCTTTCAGTGAGGTTTATGATCTTAAGTCTTCTCATTTTTAGGTCACTGAGAGCCAATCTCATCAAGAGTTTGCCAGAGAAAACCTTCCAATCCCTGCACATGATGGGAGACCTGTGAGTGACAATGAAACATTGCTTTGAATGAGTGTGTGCATGGAAATAAGGAAAAAGAGAAGGCACTAGTGATTTATTATCAATTATTTTATTGTTTGACATGCCCTTGTCACTTTTGCAGGGATCTGTCCAGTAACTTGATAAAGGAACTGCCAATCAGTATTTTCAAGGATTTACCCTCATTGCAAATTCTGTGAGTAACAGCAGTTGGATGAACACATTTGATCTCAAATGTAAATATGAAAATCTGGAGCAGATCTTTATAAAGTATATATTTACATACTATTGGCCTGCTGTGTTTTCTCATTTGTAGGAATCTGTCCCACAACCCACTGGACCACATCCACCCAGGCCAATTTAACCACCTAATTCAGCTCCAGTCTCTGTAAGTAACAGCGTTATCTAAGGTTTTCATGAGATTTGTTTTTTAACAATATATGTTATTAAATTTGATATGCTGTAGTAAGCACACAACAAAGGTTGTTCTCGAGTCGAGTTAGTGTTTAAGGGCTTGTTTCGGGCTACAGCGCATATTAACGATAAAACAAGAAAACAAAAGGCAGACCAGGCTATGTGCCAGATTGTAGTATTCACTGAGGCTTAGAGCAGGTGACCCGACAATGGTCAGCGGAATAACCAAAGGCTCTTGGACACTAAAACGTCAATATTCTGCAGTGGCCTGGAGGGAGTGGAGATCCCAAATATCCAGACAAGCATGTTCCGGACCATGGATAATCTCTCCTACATGTGAGTATCAGACCTGCAAACTCACAAGAGGTGAAAATTTGACACGTTTACAAATTATTGTAGGGTGGTGTAGGGGCATCCCAGAAGAATTTTTTTGCGATTTTAAAATGTAAACAAGGCATTCTGGTGCACACTGACAAGAAAATAAAGGGAAAAGACAACATTTGCTTCAAGTAAATAAAATAAAAAACAGCACACATTTATTGACACCACTTAACTTGAACTTTTTGGCACACCAGCCACAACTTGCTACATCAATACAAATCTTGTATCCTGTATTTATCTGGTCTAGGAGTGGGTGATATGACAAAAATATCATATCACAATTTTTGTCAGGAAAATCACGATTCGCCATTTTATCACGATTCTTTTTCATGTTGGTTTTACTATTTTGCAAGTGACCGAGCATTACAGCCAAACTAATGTCCCTATTTTAAAAAACAAAGCCTTCCAAGGTAACAAAAAAAATAAAAAATCTTTGTCATTATTTTCTTTGTTATTAAAATATAAGAACAAAGATACACATTACATATACACAACATATTATACACAAATGAAATAAACAGGCCTTTGTTTTTTTTCAGCTACAGTAGGTGTATTTATCAGAAGCATTTCAAGAAATAAATTAAATAAACAAATTAAAAATAAAACACTACATAGACTTTAGTATAAATTATAAATTGAGTTATCATGAGTTATTTTCTCTTTGTTTTTTGTTGTTTTATTAACATTAATGGGATAGTTCCCCCAAAAACGAAAAAATTGAGTTGTTTTAAACCCAAATAAGTTTCTTTCTTCTGTTGAAAATAAAAGTTATTTTGAAGAATGTGACTAACCAAACAGTTGCTGGTCCCCAGTGAATTCCATAGTATATATTTTCACATTCTTCAAAATATCTTCTTTTGTGTTCAGCACAAGAAATGAAATTAATACAGGTTTGGAACAACATTAGAGTGAGTAATTTTCATTTTTGGGTGAACTATCCCTTTAAGGACAACTTTTTTGCTTTTACTGTTACTTTTGATCAAATTAATGCATTCTTGGTAAAAATAAAAGTATTAATTACTTATAAAAAAATAAATAAAAAAAACTTATTGACCCCTGACAACACGGACACCGGCACAGACACCGACATGGAAATGACATAAAACCCGGCACCAGCACGGACACCAACACGGGTACACGGGCACCGGCACGGACATCGACACAGGCACGTACACCAACATGGGTACCCGGCACAGACACGGGCACCGTCACGGACACACCAACATGGACACCGACATCAGCACGTACACTGGCACCGACACGGGCACGCACACCGTCATGGAAACATGGAAATGACATGGAAACCCAGCACGGACACACCGGTAAGGACACACCGGCACGGACACACCAGCATGGACACCGACATCAGCACGTACACTGGCACGGGCACGCACACCGTCATGGAAACATGGAAATGACATGGAAACCCGGCACATGGACAGTGGCACGTCACCGTCACACCGTCACGGTCATAGACATTGGACACGGACACCGGCACCAGCACAGAGACAGACACCAGCATAGACATTGACACAGGCACTGGCACGGACAGCGGCACAGGCACGCACACGACATTGAAACATGGAAATGACATGGAAACCCAGCACGGACACACCGGCACGGACACACCAGCATGGACACCGACATCGGCACGGACACTGGCACCGACACCGGCACGCATACCAACATGGAAATTCGCACCGGCACATACATCGGCACCAGCATGGACATGGACACCAGCACGGACACACCGGCACCAGCGCAGGCACCGCCACAGACACCAGCACCGGCACAACAGTCACCACACGGACACAACAAAAAACTTGAATTTTTACACACTTTTTATATACTGCATACAGTGGCGGGTGTTGGGGTTGGGTTCGGTGTGGTGCTGTGTGGCCTGACTGGCCACAGACTGCATATCATGATAATAGTGGGTCGTCTTTAAAAGCGTGTAAATTACTGTCAAAATACAAATATTTTTACATTTGAATAAAATATAATATAATATAATATACAAGTTAATAGTACTACCAGCTGTATGAAAAAGTTTCATTATATTTTACAATTCCGTTAGGTGCCACTAGAATCACAATTGAAATTACACACATCAGTGTGAATTTGCAAACAACATTACATATTAATAAAATGAATATTAATAAAATATTTTAAAATATTGATATTATTTTTTTTCTCAGATATTTCAAGAAGTTCCAGTACTGCTCTTACGCCCCACATGTCCGGAAGTGTAGACCAAACTCAGATGGTCTCTCATCTTTTGAGGATCTGCTTGCTAACGTGGTCCTTCGTGTGTCTGTGTGGGTCATGGCTTTTATCACCTGCTTTGGGAACCTCTTTGTTATCGGGATGCGGACTGTCCTGCGAGCTGAGAACAACCTGCATGCCCTCTGCATCAAGGTTTTGTGCTGTGAGTACCTGACGTATACAATTTACCATTGCCCACATTACATTAAACACTAAATATGCTTTATTATACAGTCTGAGTATGCCAGGTCTTTTAAGATACCAGCATTAATGACACCAGAGGGCACAAACATCTGTTTCCAGGGCTTATTTGTACTATAATTGGCTGACTGTTATGAAACCAATGTGACGCAAGCAGAAGCAGCTGGCACTCCAAAGAAACATTTTTCTAGGACACCAAGCTCTCAAATTATGTGTTCCTGCACCCATGACCTTAAAGTGTTCCTGCACCCATAATGTCTTCTCAATTACATCAAGGCATATTACATACCGCAAGCTATCTATTAATTTTTCTATTTATCTTGTGGTGATTTAATGAATATTAAAGATGTGGGTTTCGTCTTACTGAAGAACTCTGTCCAATTATGCTTTCCGCATTCAGAAAGGGATGTGTGAGAGAGCAGTTGACAATATTATTTCGTTCTGGAAGAGCACTGTTTGAGATGTTTAAAAAGCCTTTTCTCCAGGTCCTCCTGCTGTCTGTCTCCTTTAACCAAAGTGTCCCACGGTTGACAATCACCCGCCTGACATTCAGCTTGAAAGGTTGTTGTGATCGGACGGGAAATCAATAAACCTGTAACAATTCTATTCACACAGGATTCGCTCTCTATTACAATCACCTTCAGCCATCAATTCTAACTCTGGAGTTCCTGGGCTGGTGCCATTAATCAATGCACCCATGTTTGGCATGGGAAAGGCTCCTATTTTAGCCTGCGATGTTATTACCATGTGCTTCGGTCACGCACCTGTGCTATGCCTCGTAAAAATTGATTTCTGGCCTGCTGGGGTTGTGATTTATCTTTTAAAAATAACAATTTGTATGTGCAGCCAGGAAATGCTCCAACATTCTGGCACAAGACCAAATTGTAAATCTGGGCTTTTAGGAAGCTACTTGTTCATTAATGAGTAATAGCTAAAGCTATTTACCACAATGCTTCATTTATCCCTAGGTGCAGATTGCCTGATGGGGGTCTATCTGTTTTTTGTGGGGGTCTTTGATGTGAAGTTCCGTGGCGAGTACAACAAGAACGCTAAGCTGTGGATGGAGAGCCTGGAGTGTCGTACTATTGGCTTCCTGGCTATGCTGTCCTCCGAGGTTTCCGTCATGCTGCTCACTTACTTGACCATAGAGAAATTCCTAGTCATTGTTTTCCCTTTCAGCCACCTGCGACCAAGCAAGTGCCAAACATTTGCCGTCTTGACTTCTATATGGCTGCTAGGTATCTCTATAGCTGCAGTGCCTCTGCTTAATGAGGACATGTTTGGGAATTATTACGGACACAATGGAGTGTGTTTCCCTCTTCACTCTGAGCATCTGGAAAAGCCCATTGCAAAGGGATATTCCACTGGAATTTTTCTTGGTGAGTTCTGGCAATGGTGAAAAATATTTGATTTAGTTATGAAGATTAAAGGAGTCATAGCTTCCCTTGTTCTTTTGAAATAAAAAGAGTGTCTCTAATCCAATAGCCTTCCCAGCACACATAGGTCATTTATTGAAAAAAATGAGCTACACAAATGTCTCTTTCTGGCTTGATGTCACATTAACATGACCGCCCACATTTATTTGACAGGTTAAGTGGATTTTTTGTTGTTGTTAAGAATATACCATTCAAAAGTTTGAGGTCTGTAAGATTGTGATGTCATGTAAAATTTATTTTTGGCTATTTTGATCCAGGAAACCTTGACTAACAAATGTGGACCAAAAAAAAAAAGAAAAGAAAAAAGAATTGTGGAATATGGCCTCTTTAAAACAGAGAAATGTCTCAACCTCAATAGTCTGAAGAATATCTGTCTTGTTTTTGTGCCACATTCTGTTAACTGCTGCTGCTGACGGCACTCGTTTATTAATGAAACCAACCATACTGAATTGATGAAAACTATTGTCCTGCATTGAATTGTATTCTCTTAAATGGGGAGGATGCAGACCTGGAACAGGCAAATATACACCCCTGTTGCGTCCAGTAGGGGGAGGCTGTACAGTATGAGCCAGACCAAATCTAGAAATGACACGAATATAAGGGGTTATTAAATTATTTGCTATAGTTATTGTTCAGCAATCGTTTATGATTTATGGACAATTGCTCCAGGTCTGCAAGCCTCCCTTTTCTTATATGCTCTGCTTTAAAGCTGCAGTAGGGAGTTTTGAGAAAACGTTGACTTAGCCTGAAAATTTGAACAAGCACAACTTACAGGTCCCACCCCCTTGCTCTCTGCTGCGCTACAGCCCTCCCTCCACAGCTCCTCCCCCACAGCGGAGCCTGTCGTGAACACGCAGACTAGTAAACAGGGCCACCGATAACAGCGGATAAAAAGTTATATGGCACATTCACTAATAGGGACTAAACGTCAATAATATGCTTTACATTGACTATGGCCTGGCCATACTTTGACTACAAACTTGGTCCTCAAATCATTATGTATTTTGCAATAGCCTACATGTAACTTTATAACGTTGCACTCTTTCTATAAGTTATAAATAGCTAGTAAGATAACGTTAATATAACGGTAACTAACGTTACAGTATGTAAGTAATTATTCTAGCGATAGATAATGCTTGATAAGGTTTGCTAGTACATTATTTCAGCAACATGACAAGCCAGTGAATTAGCAGGTTTCAATTGTTGCTTAGCAGAGTGCGTGACATTTTATCTACATGTTATGCGGCTAGAGTTTTGACACCGAGTCAATGGGCTCTGTGTAATTCTTTCTTTTTCGCTTCTTTATCGTCATCGGTTTTTTTCCTTTTACCTCTTTGTTTTATGAGCAGGTGTCACTCGAGAATTGGCAGTTTAGGTTGTTTCTCCGTCATAAGCACAGCTGCGGCACACCGGCAATCTTGAGTTTGAACGACGGCTCGCGCGAGTAGGAGGTCTCTGCGGAACAAAAGTGGGTGTTTCTAAATTTGTGGGTGTTTTCACACTGGTGGGTGTTAATAAATCATGCAATGAAAATGATGCCCTTCTCCCGACCCCACCCCTAAGACCTACCCACACTGTGACGTGGGCAAATCAGGTAACGCGGTTGAAAACGCCCCTCTGTTTATGGCCTCGCCCCCTGATCTGGTAACTCTTATTACCGTCTGCAGAGACCTCTATTTGGCTCGCGCTGTGCAAAAGAGGGGTGTGATCAGCGCGTACACGAGCGTGATTGACACTGCTAAGACATTCCTCCTGGCTCTGATTGGTTGTTTCTGACCGGGAGCTTGTATTTCTGCAAATGGCAATAGGACCACTGGGAGGAGCCAGAAGAGCTTGATTTTTTTTTCACAGATTATCTGTCTCATATTCTACTGTCAGGACATAATGACAGTTTTAACAAATATGTAAAAAATATTTTTTACAAAAGTTACCTACAACAGCTTTAAGAAACCTTTAGTCACAGTACAGAGATGGCCTTGACCGGTTTTCATTATGCTTTTTGCTGTTTTTCAATCAGAGTTTTATGTTTATACTTATAGGACTTAACCTGGTGGCCTTCCTCATCATTGTCGTCTCCTACTCCAGCATGTTTTACTCCATCTACAAAACAGGCATTGATGCCACAGAGCTGCGTGGACGGCTGCACAGGGATGTGGCTGTGGCACATCGCTTTTTCTTCATCGTGTTCTCTGACGCCCTCTGCTGGATTCCCATATTCCTGGTCAAAATCCTCTCCCTGCTGGAAGTTAAGATACCAGGTTAGTTGGTCCTTAAATTAAATGGCGCAAAAATGTGCGTACATATAGAAAAGGTATACAAGCAAAAATGCATTCACAAATATTAATATGAGGAACTTATAAGTGCCACTTAGATTTTACTAAAACTACACAAAAGACTTACTAAACAAACATATAATTGTCATGGAATGGTAAAATAGTGAAGCGAGGATTCAAGTGCAGGAATAAGAATATTAATAAAGGAACAAAACAAAACTACAAACGAAAACTCCCCGTGGGTCGAAAACGAGACAGGCATCTGGCAAAAAATAGGGAAGCAAACAAAAGAGGGTAAGGAAGAAGGCAGGTGGGGCAAATTAATCAATAATCAGATAACAAGATGGGAGGGGCTAGACAATTGACAGGAGAGCACATGGCACAAGGAAACACATGACAGGCCATGTGCTCAACAAACCAGACTATACACAAACACATGACAAACTGGGAGTGTCAGAGCTCTGTCACCAAACCAAGATATAAACCAGACAGAAGTGACAGAACCCTGACAATAATGCACTCAATATTTTACTAAAGGAAAATATCTCTTATCTTATGTCTCTCTCAGGAACAATCACATCATGGGTGGTGATCTTCATCCTTCCCATCAACAGTGCCTTGAATCCCATCCTGTACACGCTGACCACCAGTTACTTCAGAGAGCAGGTGGAACTTTTATGGTGCCATAGACAGCCAAGACTCAAACAGGACCGCAAGAGCTTCACCAGCTCTGTTATTTACATGGATCCCTTGAGGTCTTCTTACTACCACACACATACATCTATCTTAGTCATAGATGCCAGTTATAGATGAGGATATTCTATATTATGGACATTGCATTTGTCTGTAGTGTATCTACAGAGTTTTCAGAGAGCCGGAGCACTTAAAGACGATGTCCTGGTAGAGCCTCTTTGCTGGTGATCCTAATCACAGAATCATGGACTGACTGTAATCAGATGCCATATTAAAGACATACAGTAGATCAAATATCTACATGTTATGGTTGGACAAGAATGATAAAACAAAGTGCAAGATAGCCTGCCTGACACTACTCTTGCAGTATAGGCTACATCATAAAAATCTTTAAAATCGCTGAATATGTTATGACCCTGCTAGTCAATAGGTTTTAAGACCATACACTGATCTTGTAAGATGTAGCCTACTTTGACAGAGGGTTGTTTTTTAACAACCAACAGTGGGCATGCATGCTATTTGTATTTTGCATATGTATATGATGTACAGTTCCCTTTTTTGTATTGTATTTGCGTCAAAAAATAAAGACAAATTCTGTTTCACTTGCAATAGTAAATGGAGCTACCTACTTCTTCCATTCAATCATGAAATTCATCATAGCAGTTTAATATCAGCCAACAGCCATAATAAAGACTGTAGGCTATTAATCACAGTGATGGGTATCAGCCAAGTCAGTCAACCTGGCGATCATCTAGGCCACGCCCCCGTAATCTGTTTGAATGGGGAAAGACCGAAATCTCTGCGTTAGTTAATGTAACATTTAAAATCAGGAATGAATTACTACAACAATTGTGTTCTCATTTACTTCTTTAATTCAAATTACGCGCATTAGAGAGTATTGGTGTGTATACCAATAGAGTAAACAAACCGGTGGATCCCTTTACGTTAAAAAATGATTAGCCCACTATAAAAAATATTTTTGTATAATGGCCTCAAATTTCACAGCTGCTTAATTTATGGCAAACCATTTTTTTTTTTCGTTTTCACTTCACAGTCTCCTTTTTTCAGTAGCACCTCATTGCAGTACACGAGATCCAGGGGGCGGAGTTGGATCCAGATCTAAGGGGTGGAGATGGGTAGGATTAGGGGTGGGGTTAGGGATCAGGGGGTGGAGATGGGTAGGTTTAGGTATGTAAGGTGGGAGGAGTTGGATCTGGATCCAACTCCTCCCCCTGGATTTCGTGTTCTGCAGTGACGACCGTCTCCCTTTTTTTTCATCCCAACGTTTAATTGCCGCCACCTTGTGACTCAAAACGGTTACTACGACTAACGTTACCAACTGCAGAAAGGCCTCGGATCTTGTGAATTTATATAATAATCAGCATACAACTTTTGATAAAAGGATTCTCCAGTTTAATCAAGAAAACGAAAACATTACTCAGGAGAATAAGGAACCGGTAAGAGACACTAAAAAGGTCGATGAGAATTAAATATTAATTAGTGTTTGTTGTTGTGATGAACGTTTTTAGATGAAGCTTTAAGCTAAAAGTATGGAAATAAAGATATCAATATGTAATGTCCATGTATTTGTTAAGTAGCCGTGTAATAAGCTGGATAATAATGTATAATTAGCCGGTCACGGTCATTTTCAAAACAAACCCATTCAAGGTGGAAAAGTGTTTATTTTTCTACATCGAACGGCTGAGTGGACATCATTCATATATTAACACAATAACTTATAACTATATCGTTTTGGAGTAAGTTATGTTTGTGAAGTAAAGACACAATGACTGACAAATAGAATACCGGTAAGTTCGTTGTAACACGCTAGGTTCAGGGCTGCCGATAGGAGGGGCTTAACAAATGGGAGGAGCTTACGACTTCACACTACTTGTTTGATTGACAGTCGTAACGAGGCAGAGGCTCCGCATACCTCGAGGCAAGTGCGAGAATTCATCGCAGCCGCAGCAACTTTAGGATGGAGCAGTAGTCGAGAAAAGTCCTTTCCTCACAGGTAGGCTACGTCTATTCACTTATTGGCGACTGTCATCTGGAGCGGTTTATCTGTCACCTCTGTGAATCCACACTTTGTAGCCTATAAAATATTCATCTCGTGAACTCTATCCTTCACGTTTCTTGAACTACATTCCCAGAAATCGTTCTGTATAGGGTATCTGCATGAAGGATTATAACAAAAGTTTACTATGGTCGTGACTCGTGGGTAGCCTAATTATGCGTGATGAGGTTTGCAACATGTTGCGCATGTGTTTATTTTTGGATAAACTGGGACGCATCAAATTCTGACGTATCTCCATTAACCAGGGATTATTTAATACTTCTGAGATAAAATGCAACTATTAACATTTTATACGGTATACTATTACTGACCAATCCTTTATTTGCAGGTTTCTTTGACTACAGCTGTCCTACCAAAGAATATTGAATTACCTCTTTTTAGGGAGTAGATCAGAATAAAGAATATGAACAGACTTTGATGCTTTTTCATACATTCACTTATTCCTGTTAAATAAAGAATAGAATAGCACAATGCAACCATACTGTATGTAGGCGTGCATTTATGTAAATTATCCCATGCTGCTAGAGGGCCTGCCAAACATTATTATATAAAAGCTAAAAATAAAACAAATTGGTTACAGTTTACAATAAGTTTACTCAATGTAATATTAGATTATTACAATCAAAGGTTGCATATGTTAATATTATTTAATAGAGCTGATCTAACATGAACTAACAGTGATTTGAAACAATATTTATTAAAGGGATAGTTCACCCAAAAATGAAAATTCTTTCATCATTTACTCACCCTCATGCTGCTCCAAACCTGTAAGAATTTCTTTCCTCTGTTGAGCACAAAAGAAGATATTTTGAAGAATGTCGGTAACCAAACAGTTGTGGGGCACCATTGACTTCATTTCCTTCTATGGAAGTCAATGGGGACCTGAAACTGTAGTTACCCATATTCTTCGAAATATCTTCTTTTGTGTTCAACAGAGGAAATAAATTCATATAGGTTTGAATATAAAAGAGTGCTGATTGCTTGTGAAATATTACAAATAATTTTGTTGTAAATAATAAATAATATGTAAATAAGCAGTGTTGACTAATCCATTTTAGCAAAATAGTTCAATAAATAATATAATAGGAATATGCAACAGTTCTGTATAGGCGTGCTTTTATGTAAATGAGCCCATGCTGCTGGAGGAATTGCCAAACCTTATTATATAAAAGTGCTATTGTGAACCATACAAATGGTTGTGATTTGCTTATAACAATTCTTGTTGTCTTAGAATAGCTAATAGAAGTGAAGCTATCAGAGACCAATGGAGTTGACCTTTATGACAGTGCAATGATTTGCTGTAATTCACTCTCTTTAGCTGTCATTCCAGAGTTTATTGAATCATTCTGACAAGAACATTCCCAGACATCTGTTTGAAGAACATCCCACAGAAGCTTGTTTCTCAGGCAACCGTGCTGGTTTAGTACGCTACTAAAAATATGCGAGAAGGTGGGCAGGAAGCTTTATGATCTGGTGTCTTTACATAGTCATGATCCTTCTCTTTTTTAATTTGATATATTCTTCATGTTCATCCGCCAACACATTGCGTTTCATCCAAAGGCACATGCAAGCATCATCTAATTAGCCTGAATCCTGTTCGCATACAGTTCAATTATGACTTGGCTTGAACGTTGCCATTCAGACAATGGCCGAGGCCCAGGGACATTCAAACACCAACGTCTTCATGTGTCACTTGAGACGGAGGTCTTTTGTGAGTGTCAAACGCTTGATTGTTGAACCCGAGCCAACGGCTGATTTCCTTTTCCCATCTTGAAAGCTGAACAATGAACGTTTGTGTATACGTATCGATGCCGGGAACGAAAAAAGATCAGAATCACCTGGCCGTAACCAGATACGAGCAGCGTAGATATGAGCAGCGTCAGTGGCACCGGTTTTCTTCGATGCCATAGGGTGATGAGATGTAAGCTCCGCCCATCAGCAGTTTCTGACCTGTCTGATTGGATGTCAGAAATGAGCTGTGCCTCTGTTTGCTAACAGACGAGCAGTTAGAAGGACAGGTGCAGGGTGAGGACCCAGATGCCCTGAAAGACCCCATTATCAGTGGAGCAGAAAGAACCGGTACTTTCATACAGCGAACACCAGTCTCAACTAAGAATGCTGCATTCATTGGCACCTTTTGCTTGCTAATGCTATAGAATTATTTGTATAATAAATAATTTTTCTTCAACAAATAATTAAATACATATATTTAAATATATATATATTTTAAAATTTCATTTTTATTTACAGAAATATTTATTATTGTCAAGTCAAGCCACTTCTATTTATATAGCGCTTTATGCAATACAGATAGTTTTAAATCAGCTTTACAGTGATCAACGGGGAAATAATGATGCAAACAGAATTCAATTCTGCTGTAAAGCAGCTCTAAAAGAAAATAGTGTTATTGTTCAGCTAAAGTCAGTTCAGTGTTGATTCAGATCCGTTGTAAAGATCATTAATTATTAAATTAGTTCAATTGGACTAAAGCAGCTCTGTAGAAAACAGTGGTGTCATCGTCCAGCCCAGTTCAGTTCTCATCCTACAGTCTGATCAATAATATTGTTGAATATTAAGTGACCCCAAATAAGCAAGCCAAATATGACAGTGGCAAGGAACCTAAACTCCATCTGTGACGGAATGGAGGGGGAAAAATGACTAAAATGACTAAAACTGAAATAAAAAAGAATTAAAAGCATAAAAAATGACTAAAAAGGTATTCAAAGTATTGCAATATAAGCTGATTGAATATATTGATGAATACTATAATAGTATAAAGATAATAATACTGCTAAACTACAAAGCAATGTGCTAAAATCAGTCAGAACATGTAGTAGTAATATAGTACAACATACAGTAATACATAATAGCAATGCATGAAATCAAGTAAACACAAAACCTAGTAAAGAACGGCTTTTATTACAGAAGCAGAGCCTAATATTTGCAAAGCATTAGGGCTTGTTATTAATTCTTATTCTTTTAATTAATTTTAAATCCTAGTATGAACTGCTTAAAAATCTACACGAAATCCTAAAACAGCCATGTGCTCAATGCAAAGTGTCTAGTGTAAAGCCAGTGTTAAATGTCCAGTTGGGGTTTGTGTGTTGCGATGGGGAGCAGATACGTAGACGCCTCTCGATGTGCTCGGAGTCTCTGAGCTCCAGATGGCAGATGAAGCACTTAGACGGGTGGATGTACATGAGATCAGGTTGGAAGAGCTGCTTTGATGAGTCACATGATATGTTCTCACCATCTCCAGGCATTA